TTGGTACTCTTTACCACTTGCCCATTACTTTAAATAGTGTAAGGCCCTTGAGAGGAGCCACTGTTCAGTAAATGTTTTCTCTACAAAGGCCAGTGACACATGGTGGTCGAGGCATGGGATTTGGAATCTCAGGACCTGGGTCGGTATCTTGGTTCTGTTACTTACCTTGTGGGGACTCTCCTCTCTAAATGTCTTGCTACAGTCTATGTAGCAAGCTTTAGTTCTAGAACCACAAACTATGATTAAATGATTAAATCTACTTTGCCACTGTTACTGAGCGGGGTGTGTCAATATTCCCTCCTATGGCCCCATTTACCATCTGGACCAAATGCTCCTCCCTGGCTACCATTTCGCTATATGTGTGTTTCCCCCATTAGAACATAAGTTTGATGAAGGTAGGGAATTTCTTTACTTTTGTTATTTTTATGCCTGGAGTTCAGGATAGTTCAAGTAATTTTCACTTCCATGGACCTCAGTTTGTTCTCTAAAATGGGGCATTCAATGACCTCTAAGATTTTACCCAGTTCTCAATCCCCAAAGTGAAGTTACCCCAGGGCTAAACTTTAAAGAAATGAACCAGTGCTCTCTCAGGATATGTACCAAATTTTATTTCATTTTACACTCAAAACTTCTGTACAAAAGGAGAAAGGGCAGGTCAGGAAGGACAATGATTTCTGCAAAGAGTAAATGAGAACCAGGCCCCGGGTCTCGTCGACAAGGTGCAGTTCTCTTTACACATACATCTGACAAAGAACCTTCTAGTGCGTTTGGCTCTTAAAGAGAAAGGTCCTGATTACATCACTGTCAAATCTATTACAAATTCGGAGCAGACTAGTTGAAGCCGTTTTCAAAAAGGAAGTCAGCTCAGTCTACAGTACGAGGCTATTCCCTCCACCCCCTAAGGAGGGGGGCAGGGATCCTTGCTATTTTCTTCTTGGGGGGGGGAGCTGGGCAGAGGCAGGGGTAGGGGAGGGGAAGAGGATGAAATATTTCTATTCCAACCCTAACCACACATTCTTCCTTATGAGACTCTCCAAGCTACAGATTGGCACCACTTTGAGGTCATGGGCAAAACTGGCAGTGGTGGATGAGGGTGGAGATAGAAACTTGGATCCATGGAAATCTAAAAGTTCTTGTCCCAGGACCCTGAAATCCCATTTCTTAATCTCCCATCTCTCTGGTGGTCCAAGCCACTGGGGTTGGGAGAGGTATGAGTCTGAAGTCAGAATACTTGGTTTTGAATCCGCATCTGTTCTTTACCATCTGTGTGATCTTGGGTAAGTCCCTTCCCTTCCCTGGGACTCAGTTTCCTCCTCTGTAAAAGGAGGCAAAGGAGGAGGTGGTAGCTAAGGTCCCTTTTAGTGTTCCACCCCAGTGGCTGCTGTGTTTCAAGTCCTATGGTGTGCTTAGCAATTCACCTGCAACCATGAGTGTGTCTGGGTCTCTTGACCGTCCAAGGACCCCCGGCTGGCTCTAGAGGCTCCAAACCCAACAGGCCACATAGAATGACAAGAGCCCACCATGCCCATTGGCCATGCTTTCCAATCACAGCACTCATGACCTTCAGGGATCACAGACGGGTATTTCCATGTAGCCTAACAGTTCCAGAGGTCACAGTTCACACTCTTGTTTTCCAGAATTAGTTGTGTTATAACTCCATTGACTAACAAGAAGGGCTCAGGTCCCTTCCACTTCTAGATAGCCTAGGATTTATTTGCAGGACTCTTTGGAGAATGCTCATTGGACTGCTATTGCTTTCTGACCAAAGATGGAGTCGCTTTTCCCTTACTGTCTGGCACCTGAGTTCAGCAAAGATACTTGAACTGGTTCCGTTCAATTTTATCATCACTGACTTGACTGAAGGCACAGATGGTAGTGGGAAAAGCACTGGATTTGGAGTTAGATGACCTTAACCTCCTTGGACCATGGTTTCATCATCTGTAAAATGGGAAGGTTGGCCCAGATGGACTCTGAGAACCCTGGACCCTAGATGTATGATGCTCTGATCCCAGGCCATCTCCTTGTAATCTGTGCTACTTTTGGGCCTGCATCTGTGGGGCAGGGTAGAGGTTGTGTTGGCACACTCCTCAGATGTCTCCATCCCAGCTCTAAGTTCTATTATACTTATCAGATCTTCAGATGTCATACATAAGGCAGGGAGGGGTAGCTAACACTATGAGGGAAAAAACCAGGTTCCCAAAATATCTTGACAGGATGAATGAATGATGAGTCAAAGTAATTAAAATGAAATTTAATGGGGATAAATTTTAAGTCCTCCCCTTAGGTTAAAAAACAAACAAAAAGGACTTCATAGATGCAGGATGGAGGAAGAATTCACTAAATGAAAAAAAAAAAAGATGGGGGTGGGTGAGGTGGGCCAGGGCTTGGGATCAGTGGGTGAGGTGGGCCA